AAAAAGAGAGAGAGAGAGACAGAGAGAGACAGACAGAAAGAGAGAGAGAGAGAGAGACAAAAAGAGGGACAGAGAGAGAGACAGAAAGAGAGGCAGACAGACAGACAAAAAGAGAGAGAGAGAGACAGAGAGAGACAGACAGAAAGAGAGAGAGAGAGAGAGACAAAAAGAGGGACAGAGAGAGAGACAGAAAGAGAGGCAGACAGACAGACAAAAAGAGAGAGAGAGAGAGAGACAGAGAGAGAGACAGGCAGACAGAAAGAGAGACAGACAGACAAAAGAGAGAGAGAGAGTGTGTGTGTGTGTGTAGGGGAGGTAGGGTTTGCGACTGCAGGTCCCATCCTCCTGCTCCACCAGGGGAGCAGGGGCCGATGGGAAAGGGAGTGGGCTGGGCAGAAGCTCAACCCTTCCCTACCGAGAAAGAGTCTCGAGTTCCAATCCAATTTCTGGAAAATTGGGGAGTGGCGGGGGGGGGGGGGAGCCACTCTTGCCGGGATCCCTGCAGCTGGCGGGGACAGGCGATGCTGGGCTTTGCAAGAACAACGTTCTGGGCCACTCCGGCTGGGGAACATGGGGCCCGGAGGGTTGTCCCCTCCAAAAGGCGGAAAAGCTGCCAGACCACTAGAACCTCTTGAAAGGCTGCGGATTTTCCAGCCCTGCCCCGCTCGCCTTTCCTCCCTCCCTGAAAGGCCGGCGGGAGAGCCTCTAGTCGTTCCCTTCCAAATAGATTTGCAGGAGGAAGGGAGGGGGGAAATCGCGACACGCCACCCACCGACCCAACCTGGTTTTGTTTGGGCAGGCATCACAGTCGTGAGGCGCTTGGAAACCTTCTAGCAGCCAAAGGGGGGGGGGGGAACAAAAAAAAACGCCGCGTCTTTTTAAAAACACGTTTTAAAACCATCCCACACCCCCTCCTCCTCCTCCTCCTCCTCCAGCCTCTTCTCCGCGCTCGGAAAAGCCGCGGTGGGTTTTAGGGGGAGGCCGGGGAGGGAGTTTCTTCTCTCCCTCCCCCCACACCCCCCAAAAAAAAATATTAGCAAGAAGGATCGGGGCAAAAGGGGGGGCAGGTCTGCCTGGAGCGCCCACCTTGCGGCGGCGGCGGGGGGGGGGCGCCTCCTTGCAGAAAAATGAGCCCAGGAGCGGGCTGAGACTTCGGGGAAAGCGCCCGTGGGCGCCCTTCCCCGGACCGACCGCTCCCCAGGCGCCTCCGACCCCCCCTTCCTTTGGGGAGAAAAGGGTCTTGCGCGACCGGGGGTGGGGGGGACTGTGGGGAGAAGCCCCCCACCCTTCCCAATTGAGGGGCTGCCCCAGAGAGGAAGGGGGTCCAAGGCACCCGAAGGCCAGAGAAGGAATAATAATGGATGGAAACTGATCAGGGAGAGATTCAACCTGGAAATAAGGAGAAATTTTCTGACCGTGAGAACAATCAACCCGTGAAACAGAAGTTGCCTTTGGAAGTTGTGGGAGCTTCATCCCTGGAGGCTTTCAAGAAGAGATTGGACTGCCATTTGTCAGGAATAGTTTTGGGTCTCCCGCTTGGGCGGGGAGGGGGGGTTGGACTAGATGACCTACAAGGTCCCTTCCAACTCTGATTATCTGTTATCTGTAAGTTGTGGGAGCTTCATCCCTGGAGGCTTTCAAGAAGAGACTGGACTCCCATCCGTCAGAAATAGTGTAGAGTCTCCCGCTTGGGCGGGGAGGGGGGGTTGGACTAGATGACCTACAAGGTCCCTTCCAGCGCTGATGATCTGTTATCTGTTAATTGAACCGCCGTCCCAGGCCGCGGGGCTTCCCTGGTGGGGGAGGGCAACCTGTCACAAGGTGGGCTTTCATCCGCTAGGAAACACGCCCCCCCCCCTTCCACGCCAAAGCCCCGTGGACCCATAGGGCAGAGTTGGAGGACTCTGGGGCAAGCCTCTCCCCCAGTTTGCAGATCCCATCCTCCTCAGCCGACCTTTTGAGCTGCGGGTGATGGGGACGCGCTCCTGCGGGGGGGGGGGGGGG